TATTTCAGCAAATGACTACATACGAAGTAAAATGAGTAAATCTACACTATAACTGTAAAATATGTCTTAGGGGGTGGATGGATTCCTTCTTGAAGGTGCTGCTTGGTACGCGGCGGATCGAAGCCTTGTATCGTGGTGGGTCGATTCCGGAGGGCGCTGCGGTGGCGGGTCATCCTCGCTTTGTCGAGCTGCCCTTTTTTAGCATCAGTACGGACACAAACGCTCATATACACACGCATACACTCATCCCTATGAACGCGCGCACACACACCCTACCCCTATGAGCACCTCCAAAAGATTGAACCGGCATATCATTTTGAGATTTACGAAGTCACCGTAGGCGCCTCGTCGTCGACGAAAACGTCTCCTCCCACTGAAAGCGCATCGTCGGAAATCCTGAAATAAATCCAGAAATAATGCGAGCACCAGGATTTGAACCCTGGTGGGTTGGGGATACCACTGTCCACCTAACCAACTCAACCACAGGTTGATTCACTCGAGCTGCCATTATTGGTATTTGTTTTCTCTTCCTTTTTCTCTTTTGGGCTTGTTGGGCTGTTCGCCTCAGCACTATCTGTGTATCGGTGTTGGTTGCTTTGGAATACAAAGCGGGAAAACCCCTTTTTCGATCAAATATGTCTACATACATCGGTATGTTGTAGTCTATTTAAAACGTCTAAAAAAACTTATATTTAGAAACGGAGAGAGTATATGTTATCACTTGGGATCTCAGAGCCAAGAATTGTATCCCGTGATCGTCACTAGTACGCAAACTCGAGGCTGGGCTTCCTTTACGATCTCCAGCCACCCATCATCCAAGTCGATGATAATGTACAAGATACAAGCTACAGGCTGCCGAAACAAGCAGGAAAATCTCATGACGGGCCACCAAAACGGACGCGGATTTTTGGGGCATGGTGACGCGCAAGGATGAAATCTGGGCGGTCCATCTATGCTATAAGATTAGCAATTAATATAGTGATTGAATGAATACCCAAACAATACGCGAGGTTAATTCAGCAAATACTCGTGTACATGGGTTGGTGGCTAGCCATCTTAAATGGAATTAGATACAAGCGAACATGCATGCAAAATACGGTCTTGACCGTTCTGCCATGTTAATGTGGTGTAGGCCATTTAAAAGACTGGTCTGTAACATTTAAATGTGGTTGTCTCAAACCTGTATGCCTTGAATGGCATTTAACTCATCACTAGCTGCCGGTTTTGTTTTGGTTTGTGTTGCCCAACTTCATTTTTCGTGTGTATTATTGAGGGTACTGTTGTATCAGTTCATCAAAGCTGCCACTGGTCATGTTAATGCTGCAGTATTACCTCGCGGATGATGGGATATCCCCATAAGAATGAATGTAAATAACATATATGTGTTACGTTACTAACAAATTTCATGGGAAGGTAACAGTAATACTCCTACACTGTGCAACCTTCTTCAACCTGCCAGTTGGGAGAAGACAAAATGATAAGGTGACCATTGTACCAAGCTCAAGTGACAGCGGAAGGGTAGCCGTTCGTTAATGTTTCTACTATAGGAATACCGTTGCTATGCTTAAAACATGTGCTTAGGCGAGGTTTTGTTATTGATTTTCTAGGCTCGTTGGGAACCTAGTACAGGAGCTTGCATTGTCCCTTGCAAAAAAAGGAGCTTGAAATTGATTCTGAACAAGTTGCATACCCAGAGTTGATGAGAGCACCGAATGGCACAAGGTGGATTAGATCATTAGAAGGTGTGTTGAAGGAGCTCACGAACTAATCCATTCATGCCATTGGATGAACAGAATGGGAGCTACTTGGTCTGAATGAATATGTGTTGGAGGAGCTAATTAATGAACTAGACTAGAACATGGAGGAGCACATGATAGAGCACAAAGCGGGGAAGGCCAGAAGTTGAACACGAATAGAGTTGACGAGGAGGACGAATGCGAGGGGGTGAGCAGTTGCTGGTGAGAGGATGAGTAAAAAAAAGTTTGGGACATGTTACCGTTGGTAGCAGCTGTCCATGGGTAGAGCCGATGAACCAATGTGGGATAAACAGGAGGAAGAAACTGCAAGAATCATGGAGGATAATTAAGCGAGGAGCTGCGGGATAGAGAGGGGCAACAGATAATATGTGCAGGGTGCCATCAGGCATCTCCTAAAATAAATGAGAGATTAACTCCTCTTGTCATCCCGGTGGGCCAGGGTCACTAATTGACACTGGGAATACATTGTCTATAAAGAAATACCACATCCTGAGAAATGCATATACCTGACGAGTGGTATGAATACGGAATGAATCATGACATAATGGATGGTGAGATATAGACCTCGCGTGCCACCATGTGTACTCATACATTTTCGCCACCAAAACGTCTTATATTTAGGTATGAAGGGAGTACATACCACTTATAATCTACTTCCTGTTAAGGGCTGCATCACTATAATAAAGGAAAAACATCTCCCTTTTTTTCCTCTGATAATACTACAAAGCGACTCCCCCATAAAAAAAGAAAAAAGTGTATTTTTCGCCCTTCAACTTTTCGCGAAGTCTAGATTTAGTTCTTTAACTTTAAAACCAGACAACTTGCAACTCTAACTCTTAAAACCAGACAAGTATAGTCCATGAGGTTGTTTCTGTGCTGACTCAACCCGGCTTTGACCAGTCCCAAGTTAAACACAACGTCCGCCTCATCACCACCTTCTTACTGGTGTCAGGCATTTTATCGAACACTTCGTAGGCAGCGGATGCTCGTCATCTCGTCCATCCCGACGGTCATGCTGCTCTACCCCCGCATGTCCAGCAGCACCTCTGGTGATCCCATTGCTGGCGGCCAGGAGCATCCCGCGGGGGCGGTGGTGACGGTTGGAAAGCTGGCTTGCACGGCATGGATACAGCGGTGGAACGGCGGGGCGGTCGCATACAGTAGCGCGAACCATGCCGTCGTCGCGGGCGCACCCAAACCGGCCATAGAAGCTTCCCGAGCAACGTGCTGGAGCTTGACGCCCGGGTGCCTCGACTCCGCGGCCTGGCCCTTACCCCAACGCGGTCCCGGATGCGAGCGCCGCGAGCTCGAGGGCAAGCACCACCGGCGGCGACGAACGCGTGGCTGCATGTAATAGTGGCGGGAGCGCGTCGTCCAGGCCCTCCGCGAGCATTCCACAGACAACGTCGAGGAGGTACACCATAGGTCTATCAGTACATGCACGCCGCCGAGCTCGACGCGTCCGGAGTTTGAGTATCTCGTCGTCGACCAGGCGGCGATGGTTTCCTGAAGGGGAGCTCCAAAACGGCACGAACGTCAGCTTGGTCGCTTGCGTGACCGGCGAGCTCCTGTCTCGTACTGGTGCGACCCGTGGTAGTGCGTGTAGAGGTTGGCAGGCAGCCAGGGGTTGTGCCATGGCGAGGTGCACGGGGTTAGCAGGGCTGTTGCACGCGGCCAGCGATGAGAAGGTAGCGGCGGCTTGGAGCGACCAGTAGGCAGCCGAGGATGCGGCCATGGTGACGTATGGTGGCTAGCAGGACCACAATGGTAGGCGCGCATCCTATGTTTGATGAAAAATGCTCAAACTGACATAGGACGAAGGAGGAAGAGATAGGGCCAGGTGGGAGAGAGAAATACTGCCACATGGACGCCAGTCAAAACCATACTAAGTCAGCAGCGATACCGGGTTAGCCGAGACGAGGGACTAAACTTGTCCGGTATTAAGATTTAGAGGCGCAACTTGTCCGGTTTTGAAGTTGAAGGACTAAATCTAGACTCCGCCAAGAGTTAAGGAACGAAAAGTATATTTATCTCCATAGAAAACACAAAGCAACTCCTCTGAATCTTCACAGGGTTAAGCTAATAAAGACACCAAATATAAATCTGGCTGTCCCTAAATGGAAAGATTAAAAGTAGGATAATACTAAGGGCATGTACAATGGTGCTATCTTAGGAGTGCCACGTAGGATTAATGATGAGGTGGAGAAGAGAGAACTTATAAGAAAAGGCTTGTCTTCTCTTATTTAAGAGAAGACAAGAGATGATCTCTTAGCACAATATGTCTCACCACGTTTTTAGGAATTGCTACTTATTGAAGATAAGGCTAAGAGATGACCCATTGTAGACTCTTTTTTTGTCATCTCTAAATTACATGCAAAATTTAAGATAAGACTATCTTATCAACCATTGTACATGCCCTTACTGGACCAGCTAAACGGTAGTTACCTCCATTGCATATTTCCATAACACTAACTGAAAAAAATGTAGGTAACTAACCGAATGCCACTCTTTCTTAGAATACTTGCCTAGCAAGTGTTGTTCTCGGCAATGGCTCATAAAATATGCTTGAAGCAACTGTAGCATGAAGGATGCAACTGTGTTAACATGTGCCGACTGATTGTATACCAAGACAACTACAGGCAAACAGTTGAAAGAAACAGACCACAATAATGTGCTTGTTGTGTAGCATTCAGAGATCCAGAAACGTGCCAACAAAGGCGCCCGATTGGTAGCGTATGTTAGCAAGGAGGTGGTGTATGTTAGCAAGGAAGCAACAAAAGTTATGTCATACTATTTGGCAAGATCGAGAAACGATACGACTATGATACTATCATCTACAGTAGTTATCACAGGTCAAGCAAAACACTCCTTGAATGCTCCTAGGCCCACAAGTCATTGACATAGAGTGACCCACATGTCACGGGCACACGGGGTGGTTTTTTCAACTTTGCACGGCCATAAAAGGATTTAGCCCTTATCTCTTGCAAATATGCAGCAAAAGAGTGGGTTAATGGAATTTGGGTCAACTAGTGCAGTTTTGGCTTGATTGAGCTTGAGTTTCAATCAAAGCACAAAATATAGTTGCATTGGCTCGCATCCTCCCAAATAACATGCTTGCAACAGCACAAGATCTCTAGTAAATTAAGAAGAGCTTATGCAAAATCTTGCGAAATTTGCTTGCAAGGCATTTACTAGCAATGATAACTAAGCCTCCTTTTTAAGATGCTCAGAGCATGGTATCTGTCATCTGATGGTCATGGCAGAAGCATCACCTCTGTTCAATCTATCAAGGCGAAATGATCCTTCATCTCTTATCAAAGGAGGGATATTCCATGTGCCATACGCATGGCCTGATATTTTTCCACCTACAAGATGACACACATGACCGCATTTATGCTTTAGCACTCCAGGAATTATTTTAAAAAAGATAAACCAAATCAGATGAAGATACTAATTATCAGTATATCTTCAAACCAAAGAAAGAAGGCATACCTTCCTTTGTAGCCTCCTCACATCTTCTCCAGTAACTTCTTGAGATGCTAGGGTCCAATTTCTTTGAGAAGCTCTCATATTTTTCCTCAGCTTCACCGATGCACTTGGCCTATACGTACAGCAGCCATTCGCAGAACAAATTACCATTAGACTTATAAAAAGATAAAAGCTAAGATCTAGTAAAGCTTATCTGCAAAAATGTAATTTAAACATATGATAGAGCAATTTCCATAAGCCAGAGCTATTACAATGTAAATAATTCAAAAGAATTTGAACCTACTTTCAACTACCAAGTTTATCATTAGATTTGCGAATATCTCAAGAATTCACATGAGGCTAACCAGATGCTCTCCATGCCACACATAACCACTTCTTCCAATGCAATAACTCGTGCATTGAGGTATAGTTTTAGTTTGTACAAGGTCAGTCCTTACGTAAATAAAAAACGTCAGTAAACTAAGTGTGAGATACTTGGAATTAAAGAAACTCGCATTTTATAAGCAGGAACTAAGTTGACTGAGAATAGAGAGCACCAGAAAAATTAGGAATACATCAGTGACATTATAACAAATAATATGCCATGAAGTAAAAGGCACAGATAATTTGTTACACACCAGCATCTTTGGTGCATCTAAAGGTCCATATATCACAGCAAACATGCGGAGGATGTTAAAAGTATTGTTAACCACATCATCCTGCAACACATAATTTAACTAGTTAACAGTTAGATATGAAGAAATGCGCGCATAATTTTTAGTGATAATGTAGTTAGCAACACGTACCTCATAATCATACCTGCGAGATAGCTAAAACAAGTCAGTGGTGAAACAACTGTTTTCACTGATGCTGTACAGAAGAAGGAACTTCTCTAAATATCGAGAAGGTGACTCATAATTTTATTGTAATTGGATTTCCATTTAGTTAGGTCATTACATTATAGATTGCACCACAACTTCGTAACTGAAGTCAAAAGTTCATTCATGAAAAGACTTTATTTTCAAGTCCAACATATAGCACATCATTTTCAAGACAGTTACAGTTTTGCACATATCTGGTTAAAGTTCTTCTTACACACATACACTACCTCCCTAGAGCATTCAATCAAGCAGATCAGATGTGCTAGATATTCTTTAAGGACATGAACTGCACCATTCTATGTACAAACTAGAGACTGCACCATTGCACTTGTGCATGCAAGACTGATTTAGAGTATACTCACAGGTCATCACATATCTCAACTAAAAATTCTGAGACAGACAAGAACTCCATATGCAAGTCATTGACCTAGAAATAATCAAAGAAAAGGTCTGGTTGACAATAGCTGGCAATCGATAAGGCAACAAAGACAAAGATGTATATACCTGCTGACCAGTAAGCCGATACATCATCAGATTAAGGACTCGATAGTCAAATGATTTGAGATGGATTGCTTCCATAACATCTTCGATAGATATCTATAGAGAAAATTTTGTAGCAACTATTTTCAGTTTGACAAGATATATGTTATCTGCGGCAGAAATGTTTGGTTGCAAAAAAAAGAATTTGATGTTTAAGCATTTGTCACTTCACATTTTTGTGCGCAAGCTGGCAAGCTCTTATATGGCTATATCTATTCCCATTAGAGCGTAATACTTACCATCTGGCCTTTGCTCTTTCATGTTTCAATATTACATACTTCAGTGTATCCATGGGTCAGCAAATATGAGTGAATATAACATATGATCTAAGAAGCAGCTCTAGTTACCTTATCGTTTCTTGATAATGCTTGACAAAGCTTCCTCTCTAGAGACCAATATTGGATGCCAGATTTGAGTTCATTTCGCAATCTATAACATGGGAAATATAGGGCTAATTCAATCAGGTATGGAGAATATTTTACATGTTTACAAGGGCATGGAGCAGAAAGTTCCCAACTGATCTGTCATTAACCCCTGGCATTGAAGAAAATTATCAAGGGGGTCAAGCATGTCAGACAAGGACATCTGACTAGAACCTTGTATTTTCCTTTCCAATACCTGCATTGGTAATAAATGGAAAATAAGAAGAAGAAAAAACAGTAAATAACTAAATGAGAAAGTCAATGTACATATAATAATCCAAGATCTTTGTTGATCAGATTCGAGACAGATCATGTCACGTATCATGCTCCACAAGATAACTAAATCAAAAGTCCAAATCTTACTGTTGAAGAAGAGTTGTTGTCTGGAACTAATAGCAAACTGTCTTCATTTGAAGCATCTAACTGCAACAAGAAAGATTTTAGTTTGCCTAATGAAAAAAAAACATATGGAGAACTGTGAAGCACATTTCAGCAAAAACCTGGTATATGTAGCTCTCTGTAAAAGAAAGTAAAGGAAGAAACTTGAAAACAGAGTGTGGTCTGTTAACATCCAAACCATGAAATATGAAGTATGACCTGCACTGCCATTTCAAGAAAAGTAAAGTTAAGAATAGGAGCATTCTATGTAACATCTATAAGGACATTTTCATAAGAAACAAAAGTACAAAAACGTGCTTGCATGAGAAGTTGAGAACAACCGAAGGTGTAGACATCTCACTGATATAGTTTGTGTGTGAAATTCTTAAACGGTATGATTAAAGAATAAGAAAAATGTACTCCACGTCAATTTGTCTTATTTTGATATGAAACCTAATGTCCATAAGTGAGTTCAATGTTTTTCTTCCACAAGCAAAATCATGAGAACTTTGAAAAGAAGGCAACAGGATAGTACTAGCACAGTCTTAGAGAAGCACAGAGCAACTAAGGTTGTCACAGGTATCAAAGAGTACACACAAAATCTTCAAGTGTGGAATTGGCTCTCATCATGGCATCGAATCCAATCATAGGCGCATCCTGAATGGTTAATTTCTCGGCATCCGTCTTGAACTTCTTAGTTGGCTGGCTCGATATTAAAGGACATAATCTCTACAGAATGCCAGTGCCAGTGCCAGTTAACAACAAATTTGCTTAGTTCACTTACAAGGTAAAGTGGGAATAATACTTACTTCATCTTCCCTATTAGTACCTTCCAGACTGGCTAGACGTTGAACTTCTTTGAGTGTATCAGAATTAACCTTCAAACAATTCTCAATATCAATTCAGTATGGAAAACATTTGAAAATAAGTAATTCAACATGTGGCAACGGGTCACTAAGATTACCTCTCTCAAAAGCTCAGAGATTAATACGACCTTCTTCTCAATGGCAAGTGAATCAAACGGTTGCGCCTATATGCACAAAATGAAGAGGACTCAAATCATGAACACTGACATGCATTCAGTCTGCTATAATTCAACTATCACAGGAACCTTTCAAATGTCAGCAAGAGATAGTGAATTTAACAGAGATAGGAACAGGCAAGGCATGCAAATCAATTGAAAATATATTCTACAACAACAACAACAACAAAGCCTTTAGTCCCAAACAAGTTGGGGTAGGTGAAACCCATAAGATCTCGGGACCAACTCATGGTTCGGGCACATGGATAGCAAGCTTCCACGCACCCCTGTCCATAGCTAGTTCTTTGGTGATACTCCAGTCCTTCAGATCTCTCTTTACGGACTCCTCCCATGTCAAATTCGGTCTACCCCGACCTCTCTTGACATTCTCCGCACGCTTTAGCCGTCCGCTATGCACTGGAGCTTCTGGAGGCCTACACTGAATATGCCCAAACCATCTCAGACGATGTTGAATAAGCTTCTCTTCAATTGGTGCTACCCCAACTCTATCTCGTATATCATCGTTCCGAACTCGATCCTTCCTCGTGTGGCCACACATCCATCTCAACATACGCATCTGCGCCACACCTAACTGTTGAACATGTCGCCTTTTAGTCGGCCAACACTGAGCGCCATACAACATTGCGGTTCCAACCGTCGTCCTGTAGAACTTGCCTTTTAGCTTTTGTGGCACTCTCTTGTCACAGAGAATGCCAGAAGCTTGGCGCCACTTCATCCATCCGGCTTTGATTCGATGGTTCACATCTTCATCAATACCCCCATCCTTCTGCAGCATTGACCCCAAATATCGAAAGGTGTCCTTCTGAGGCACCACATGCCCAACAAGGCTAACCTCCTACTCCTCGCGCCTAGTAGTACTAAAACCGCACATCATGTACTCGGTTTTAGTTCTACTAAGCCTAAAACCGCAAAATATATTCTAATGATCATAAAATAATTAAGCCTACAAGGGCATCTCTTGGTTATCTAGCAACAAAAAACTCATAAAGGGGTCTCTCCCCAATTTATTAATGAAACCACTAGAAGTTCGGAACATAAACGTTACCCAAACCAGGTTTGACAGAAAATGAAGAAAGGAAATCATGCTACAGGCCTGCCAGACCTAGCAAACTGTGGATTTAAACAACTCAAGAGACAAGAATATAACCATTTGATGGGGAAATGTAGTTCACAGCTGTTGACGGTTTAGAAATGTGCAACAGTCATGTTTTCTCTAATTGTAGGATCCCACTCCACCTCACATATTTGAAGCTACAGTCATTGCTTCTGATCCAACAAGCACATGTAAGCACCATACTGACCGAGAATTAGACCAATGGCGAGTAGATATAGGAGCTGTTGAAAGTTGGATGGCCTTTAGGCGTATATATTAAATAAGTCTTGGATAAATCTCGAAGGCCCATTTGTGCTTTCATGACATAGTGGGAAGTTTAGTTCGACGCCAGGAGTGGAGGAGAGTTGGGACAGAACTCTCTTCCACATCTCATTGGAGCATGAGAAAAGGAGTGTTACATGCGCGCTCGGCGCTCCTCCTCCATCACCCACCTCGCCTCGCCCGCTCGCATCGTGTTTCCTGAACGAGTCAGCTCAGACCTATGTCATGTGTGCAATTTATCTTTGCCTGTTGCAAAAAGGATAATTGATAGCTAAGTAATTACGAGTCATTAGGTTTTAGGGAGGTACGGTTGGTTTGTGCCTGTTCTATGCCTGGCACGCACTCGCATGATTAGCTTACAATATACTTCCTCTGTGGCTCCGTCCCATAATATAAGAGCGTTTTTAACACTACACTACTATCAAAAATACTCTTATATTATGGGACGGAGGGAGTATGAGATTAATATTGTTACTTGTTAGCACTGTCGTCATATAATTTACTTTTGGATTAAACTAATCAAAAAATTGCTAATATATCGACAAGACCGTCAGTTCAGCCGAAATTGCTAGTCAAGCAAGCGCGCATACTTACGGATCTGAGGTGATTGGATTCGTGAACACGGCGGGAGAGAAAGGGACGAAGTGGCTAGGCAAACCATACCAGGAAGAGGAGGAAGTGGGCGAGGAAGCGGTCCCCGCCGCCGCTGCCGTCGGAGTCGGAGAGGCCGCGGGAGCCCATGAGGGAGAGCACCCTCTGCACCTTCTCTAGCTCCAGCAGCGCCTCCATTGCTTGCTGCCGTGCTTCCGCTCGATCTTGGTTTGATTTCAGGTTCGATTTCAGGTTTGTGCGAGTGAAATTCACTGGAACAGAGAGGAGGAAAAGATGGAAACGAGAGGGCTTGGCCCTGACTGAAAATAAGCTGGTCCAGATGGGCTGGGCCAGCTCTATCCGGCCGGCAGACTCGCTCACGCGCACCCCTCGTGGGCCGGCACATTATGGAAAAATATAAGAATTTAAAAAACACAAGGATATCCTTCTTACCACTTGTATTGCTAGTATTCCTGCCTACTTAATGTCTATTGTTAAAATTCCCAAATGGGCTATTGATATGATTACATCTTAAATGTCTCACTTCTTTTGGGGTAATGTGGGTGATAATCACAAGTATCATCTTGCTAACTGGGGGCTGATCTCCAGGAAGAAAGAATTTGGTCGTATGGGGGTACCCAACCTTAAAGAATTCAATATGGCCCTTTTGGCTTCTTGGGAAAAAGGTTTTATGATGATAGAAATGGTGACTGGAAAAAACTTATGGCTTACAAGTATAATACTAAGAATCCCAATTTCTTCAGCACTAAGGCTACTTTGGGGGTCCCTTTTATGAAAAGCCTTGGGCACTTGTAGCTTGTAAAAACTTCTATAGGTGGATCCCTGGAAATGGCAGAAATATTGCCTTCTGGCATGAAATTTGGGTGGGGGATTGTTCCTTAATAACTGTTTTGTGGGATATGTTTGACATCTGTCAACAGCAAGATGCCACTCTTGCACAGGTCTAGATGGGTGATGAACTCCATCTCTCTTTTAGGAGATGTGTGGATGCTAGGATTCTAGCTTGATTGGATGAGTTAATTAACCTAGTTAAACAGATGGTGTTGTCTGGCTCCTCATACCAACTTGTGTGGATGCTAAAATCTTCCAATAAGTACTCTGTTACTTTTACAAAATGATCAACTTTGGGGGGATCCCTTCTGAGATTAAGGATGACATTTGGAAGATTAAGGTCCCTCCCAATATTCATCTTTTCTTGTGGTTGATTTACTACAACAAAAGCTTGACCAGAGATAATTTGGCCAAGCGCAGACATGTAGAGGATAAGACATGTGTCTTTTGTAATGAACCAGAAACAATTCAGCATCTCTTTTTTGATTGTATTGTGGCTAGGCAGGTGTGGGAAATGGTGGCTGGAAGTTTTAGCATTAATATACCTGATTATTTTGCTGTGTTAGCTTCCTTTGGAAGAAAAGGAAGCATTGTGAAGCTTTAAATATAACTACTGCTGCTACCTTGTGGAGCTTATGGCGTTTGCGAAATGACTTTGTTTTCCCATGGCGAAGTATACGCTGTGCTTTGGATCTGTTGGGTGCAATGATCAGGCAGTGGAAAATCCTATGTTCAGAGGCTCAGGGTGTGCTTGTTCTCCTGTACTTAAGACTGCTGGATCATCAAAGAGGGGAATTGCTTAGGATCGCCTGGCACTGAACTATTGGAGCATCGCTGGGTTTCTGCAAATAGTGCTAGTTTACCATCTGATTCTGTGTGAGATAGTGTGTTTGCTCTCCTAGCTTTGTATCCCCCCCGGAACTTCCCCAAATTATGTTGTAATAGGGTAGTCTTTTGAGAACCCTAGTGATCGTTTTCTGTGGCAGATACTCTCTGGTTGCCGTCGAGCGCTGTTAAACAGTCTTTGCTTTTGGTATGCCTTGGCTTTAATAAAAGTTGGGGTGGGGGGAAACCCCTTTCGTTTCACAAAAAACACATGAATAAAAAGGGGGAAAGCTTACCTTCAACCGGTTGTTGCGCGCGCGAGCGTCCACCGCTTGCATAGTCGTTAGACTAATCCTGATCAAGCAGCCATGTTGGCCACAAGGCAGTCCGGCACGGTGTATTGTTTTCTTGCAATAATGGTCTTGTTTCAGTTGATTTCTGCAACACAGGGCTAGTTTCAGAAAGAAAGAAAAAAATATTTGGTGGTGAAGGATTTTTTTCTGCAACTGGGGTCTTGTTTCAAAAGATTTCGGCAACATATCTTTTGTTTCAGAAAGTAAAGAAATATTTCGGTTGTGAAGGTTTTTTTTGCAACAAGCGTCATGTTTCAGAAAACATAGCCCGAGTTGCAGCGCCGCAGGAGCACCCGATGTTAGAGAGTGAGTGGTCAGACATTGCAAACATGAGGCATGTTTCAGAAACATAGCTTCGGTTGCAGAAAACGCTGAAGAAGCATCAGGCATGAGAGGTTGTCGTCGCCGTGCTCAATTGGAGCTAGCAGCTGCTCGTGGAGCTGAGACGGAGGAGGAGCAACAACTCCGGCGAGCATGGCAAGGACTAGTTCCCCGGCGCACCGGCGGCAGCGATTTTGAGGTGGTGGCTACTGCCGTTGCGCTGGGCAGAGCTGTGGCAGGACGATGGTGAGGGGATTCTGTTTCCGAAACTGAGCGGTTGTTGCAGAAAGTAGGGAGGTGGTCACACACGTGCGATGGTTAGATCAGACGGCTATTAGGGCACTCATCCCATGGTGATCCATGCGGCGGATGTTCCTAATACATCCGCCGGAAGACGCGTAGCAACGCCCAATAAAAAATTGTTGACAGATTCAAAAAGATCAAGGGTTCAAAAAAAAGTTCATGGATTCAAAAAATATTAACAAATTTGAACAAACAAAATCTCATTGATTTTAAAAAACAAAAATTTGGAAAAAGAGCATCAATTTTGAAAAAAAAAACTTCACAACATTTGAAATATAATCGTCAATTTGATGAAAAAAGTTCATTAAAATTAAAAAATCACAAATTTGAAAAAAGTTCATCAAATTTGAAAAATAATTCATCAAATTTGAAAAAAAATCTGAATTTTAGAAATAAAAGTAAAGAAAAAGAAACAAAACCGGTCCAATAAAAGGAAAAAGGAAAAGAAAAACGGCTATGAGGCTTAAGCTTCCCAAAACCGAAAAGAGCTCTCTCCTATTGCACCCCTTTGAGGGAGCAACTAGTTGACGAGCGCTTCATCGGGAGCCTCTCAGCTACCGCCACATGTCGCGCTCTGGCACTCCCTCTAGAAAAAAAATCACACGTGTTTTAGGCTTTTTAAACGGTTTTTTCCAGGGGTTTTTTGACTTTCTCGTTTTTCACCGGTCTTCCTTAGCTTTTAGGCCCAAAATATTTTTGAAAAAAATTGCAGGAAAAAATGCGTTTTTTTCCTTTTTGCTTCTGCGAGAGGCACGATTTTGTTTTTGCAAGAGGCACGGCCGTGCCTCTCGGAAACGAAAACAAACATGTTTTCTTCCTTTCTTTCCTTTCACGAAAGGCATGGTTTTGCTTCCGCGAGAAGCACGATTGTGCTTTTCGTGAGACGCACGGTCGTGCCTCTTTCGAAAAGGGAAAAAACATGTTCCTAGTTTGGTCTTTTTGTTTGGTTTTTTGTGAAAAAAAAGTTCATCGGGACCTATCAACATGGGATCTTGTTTTGACTCAATGCGAGGAATCCAATGGTGAAACAGTCCGAGATTTGGACGCACGGTTTAAGAGATAAAATATTTTTACTAAACGGATGTACGAAAAAAGAGAAAACTCTCTGGTTGCGACAAGTGACGCGCATGAGGAGGTGGGAGTAATCTTTGGAAGGAGTACTTCTTAATTGGTGATTTTGCCCCATAGATGGCCCGGCCCGATCGGAACACTTCAATGGCCTCCCAAAACCGGAAAGAGCCTCTTATATGGGCGCACCTATATCTCGCCTTCAGCGAGACTGGCTTTAGAGTCGTTGAAGGGGCGAGTGATCTGGGCGGGCCCACGAGTGCGGGAGGCCACAACCACTCTTTTCTATTTTTTATGTTTTCTATTCTCTTTTGTACTTTTATTTATACTTTAAAATATTATATATATATATATATATATATATATATATATATATTACAAAAAAACACTTCAAAAAACATATGAAAAATGTTGAATAAGTATTTGAAAAATGTTGAACAAGTGTGTTAAAAATGTTGAACAAGTATTTGAAAAAATGTTGATCATGTATATAAAAATGTTGAACGAGTATTTTAAAAATATTGATCATATATAACAATGTTAAATGAAAAACAAAAAGAAACAAAGAAAAACCAAAAAAGAAAAAGAAAAAAGAAGAAGAAAAAAGAAAATCTAACAAAAAATGGAGAATAAAAAAGAAAACCAATCAAAAATGGAGAGGAAACAAGAAAACCCTATCAAAAAACAAGAAGAAAAAAACCTTGAAAACCAATGGAAAATTGGCTTCGTTTGCCTCAAGTACGCGACATGCCTAGTGCTAACCATGTGTAAGACATGGGCGCAGTAGCTAGTAGAGCGAGCCTCCCAGGAAAGCAAGGATCGATCCCCACTTCTCCCATAGCATTCTCTTTTTCATTTTAACTATGCACGAAAATGGGCCGACCCAATTTATGTACCCTTCTGCGAGAGTTTCTATGTTCTCTCGCTTAATGCGAGAAATAGTCGACGCACTCTTCCATTGCACCCCTTAGATGGGTCGGCCCCTTCAGCGCCAGTTAACGAAATGCACGTTAACTAGCTCTTACTTGATTCCTAATCTCTATCTCTATCTCAATCAAGAATGGGAAACAACGATACACATTACCTACCCTAGCGCCGCCTTAGGCGATGAGGGTCTACCTACTCTGCTGGCAGCCTCTGCCAGTGTTGAGTCTTCCTTACCGTTGCTCTCCCCAGTGGGGCGCCCGTAGCGCAGTTCCTAGGGCTTCCTAGCCCTGGTCTCTGCTGCGGGGGAACCTTGGGAGAGATCACATCGGTGTTACCATGGCGTCCACAAGATCGAGGTCTGGTGAAGCTGCTAAGCTAGGGGATGAATGCCATGTGGGAAGAAAATGAAGATGGGACCCTCTCCATGTGAGTCCATCGTTGTCGAATTTGAATTGGCGACCTCCCTAGGGAAGGATTGTCGGAAACAATGAATACTCTATGTTGGAACTGCCATGGGTTAGGCGACCCCGCGACAGTTCATGAGTTGCA